TATATATATATATATATATATATATATATATATGTTATATATATTTAAAACTATAGACGTATAATAGATGTTTGATAAATCCATAATAATATGCACTAATTACAATCTACCTTCTAGTTCAGAGAGTATATATGTGATACTGTCACAATTATTCAGAAGATGAAGGAGGAAGGGAGTGAAGGAAAAGCAAGAACCACAATTAATTCCCAGGTTAACAGCTAAGAGATACTTAGACAAGTGAAAAAGTTTGAAACAAACTTCATTTGTTCTAAGTGCTAGAGAATGAGGAAGTGGAAAGGAGAAATAAATCAAATCACAGTGCAATATCACTGCTTGCTACACTATACAAATTGCATAGGGAATTGTGTACATCCATTTTTCCACCATCTGAAATGTTTCCATCAGCTGAAACTCTGAGAGGGCCATATGCAATCAATATATCCACACTGCTGGTCCACTCCAAACCAGTGTAGATTTTACCTGGCCCTGGAATGAGTAATGAAGAATAAACAGAAGGACCCCTGTGATAAAGTAAGGGACAGAAAAACCTGAAACAATCTACAGAGAAATCTATTATCTATTGCCAAATGTTGAAGTAACTGCAGAAAATTCTATAGCAGTCTCATTACAGTACAAGAAAAATCATGTCTCAAGAAACAGGAGGCCATTAAGAGAAAATTTATTGAGGTAAAAAAAAATAATAGGACAACATTAAAAGTGGAATAATGAGATACTGCAATTCAAGGAAAGAAAAAAATGCAATTGCAGGATAAAAATTCATGTTACACATGAGAAAACATGGAACACCCACCTGACAGTAAGAAATGAAGGAAGAAAGATTTCAATGAGGAGGAGAAACAAAGATAGGGGACAGGAAATGATGATTCAAGTTAAAAATCATTGTTTTCCTGGAACGGGAAATAATTGGAGAGGGAGAGGGTAGCAGTTACAATAACTAAGGAAATAATTGCACACCAGGGTGTGCAAACTGAAAGACTCAACACAATCTAGAGAAAATCAGTTAATTAGACTCATCAAGAGACTTCCTAGAAACTGGTTTGGGTTTTGATGAAAGAGAAAAATATCCTAAAAACATCAAGGCAGAAAATCCATGTTAAAAATAATAGAGAAACGAAGTCTTGATGACTTCAGATTTGCCTTCCGAAGCAATACATTAGACAGATAAAAGTGTAATGAATGAAGGTTATAAGTGGAAAAGTTTGTGGCCTAAGAATTTTATATCCTCCCTTAAGTGCACCACTCACAAATGACACAGTACAGTTCCCGACATCATCATTGTTAAATAAGTGCTATATTTAATGAAGACAAGATCCACAGAAACTCACAGTATAAAAAGATTGAAAGTGAGCATAGAAATAGGTTAGACACCAATATAAGTGTAAATATTAAAAACTGGGTAAAACAAATGCAATATCAAAAGGCATTCTTATTTGAATGTTTGATAAGAATATTTAAATATTAAGACAAGTCAACATACTAATAAGATGGGAATTTCAGTTAAAAGTAGTATCAACAAAGTAGGTGTGGACAAAATCCTTTAACTGGGGGATCAAAAGATATCAGTTATTTTTAATTTTAATATATAGTTAAATGTGGCTTTAAAAAGATATTGAAACCTGAAATGTTAAACCCTGCACTATGTAAAACAGTACATGTAACTTTGTACACACTAAAAACATAGAAGTACAGCAATGTATATATACATAAGATAAGAAAAAATGAAAAAAAGAAATATAGAAAGTTAAATCCATGAAACAAAATAATACAATTATACTAGAGAAAAAAATATATGATATATACAAACTTAAGTAACTGTATAAAGATTGCCTATTCAAAAACAAAGACTCTTCAGTTTTCATTTAAAAATGACACTTAGTTATAAGTTATTTAAAAGAAGTAACAGAGGGGGCGCCTGGGTGGCGCAGTCGGTTAAGCGTCCGACTTTAGCCAGGTCACGATCTCGCGGTCCGTGAGTTCGAGCCCCGCGTCAGGCTCTGGGCTGATGGCTCGGAGCCTGGAGCCTGTTTCCGATTCTGTGTCTCCCTCTCTCTCTGCCCCTCCCCCATTCATGCTCTGTCTCTCTCTGTCCCAAAAATAAATAAAAAACGTTGAAAAAAAAAATTTTAAAAAAAAGAAGTAACAGAGATTTTAAATAAATGGGAAGGTATATTCTACACAAAATAAAACGAAAGCTGTTTGGTATACTAGATTATAAGGGTGGCTCCAATTCATCCCCCTTTCCTTGCCATGGAAAATAGGATCTTGGCATATATAATACAAGCAGAAACTTAAAATGGGCTTCTACTTTGCGGGGTTGGCCTCTCCTACTTTGGCCATCACCATGAGAATATCCCTGGTCTGGCCTGTTAGAAGAAAAGAAAGAGGTGTAGAAGAGCCCAGCTCACCAAGTTCCCAGCTGGTCACCCCAGGCGACTGACAGCCAGTCAAAAGCAAAAAAATGCAAGTGAACCCAACAGAAGAGCAGTACTACCTAACCACAAAATCCCCACCTGACTCCACAAGTGTGACTAATGCTGCTTTAAGCCAAATGCTACTGAGGGCCTGGGGTTTTGTTTTGTTTCATGGTGTTTGGCTTTACTGTGACATGATATAATTGATTCCATTGGTAATATTAATGTCAGGTACAGAAAATAAAAACAAACGTCTTTAAAAGATAATAAAATGTTACACTAGTATACAGTAAAACTCCTAAAAAACAT